TATGTACTTTATAACACAGTATTTTATGTAACAATATATTATTGTATCTGTCTATATCGGGAGTGAATATAAGCTTTTATTTTTAAACGCGCTGCCTCGGTGCTTCGCGTCTCTGCAGCTATAGGCTGCTGCTACGCGCCTCGCCATCCGGTGAGAAAATGCCCCGTTTGAGAGCCGAGACAGGGATACTTTGAAACCATGAAAACGGCATAAAGTGTGCCAATTTGGCTGTATTTGTGTCCATATTTTGTGCATAAAACAAACAAAAAAACTGCTGCATTTCTAACACGTCCGTCCACGTTAACAGCTCAATCCGAGTAGGCAAAATAACAGGTGGACGCTACCGTCCCGCGAACATCCGCTCACGTGACTCAATGGCTTCTCTTGTAGCTGGCTGTCTACGGTTGCGCTGTGTACCACTGTGCCGTGGTGTAGCAGGCTAGCAGCTGCAGCAGTAAGACACGCGCCAAATATATAAATAGATAACGACTATTTATTCACTCCTGCCTATATGTATAACGCACATATCTTTATTTGTCTAATGTCATGATATACTGTCATGTAATTATGTTTGACGTCAGTGATTGTCTAGTGTGATAACGTTTTAGTGAGAAAAACCACAATACATGTTCATTGTAAAGAAAGGCAGAACGATAGCGTTTGAAGTGCACAAAATCCCAACAGTTTTAACAAAAAATTTATTATATATTGAAGCTCAAAGACTTAGCACTACTACTACACGCTTGCTCGCTACTGCCCCCGCACGGTAAGTCTTCCTACTCTCCGTAGGATCACACGATAACTACATGTAGGTGCTTTCGACTACTACGCGCAGAAATTGCTTCCTGCTCCTCCTCAGCCGGGTATATATGTCGTAGACACGACTGCATTCGTACAGACAACAGCTACAAGCGGCCCCGGCGGCGGTGCTACAAGCAGCCCCGACAGCGGCGGTGCTCTAATGTACAATGAACTAACTACGTAACTAAAAACAGTCGGCTGTGCTAGAATGGGCAGTTCGATGGGTTATCCAGGCTAGAACGTTTATATACGAAAATATGCCATAGCCAAATTGCCAATATTTTACACCATTCATCACCTTCCATATATATATAGATAGATATATATATTTATTTATTTATATGCAGGTTGAAAACCATACCAGTATTATATTACTTGTCTTTCCATCAAGGTGGGAAGATAATGGAAGCAGATGCACAATAAGTGCAATGTACTATAACTAGGTAAACATAGTTGTTCCCGGCAATACTACTGGCGCCATCTCGCGCGTCCCTTACCGCTCCAGTACCAGTCTCCCAAGACTACAACCAGTAAGAGAGTGTACACGGTGTACATCATTGCCCCGTCATGTGCTGCTCATCAGCTCACAGGTAAACCGACATGACGATGTCTTTACAAGGAGCGACATCGTTCCCCAGATTTCTGCCTGCGATTCTTATCATAGAACGAATAATTAGCTACATTTTGCTGCGTAGCGACACCCGTAGCGACGCATCGTGACCTTGTAAAGGTCGTTTTTCTCGCGGTACAGAATAGCTGTTGTTTTTCGTCTGCTAATTGTAGAAATCCACGTGACGGAAACACGCACCAGGGGGAGCTGTTCAATGGAGTAGTTTTGTGGCAATTGTTCGCACGATGACGCGGTTGTTATCGATCCGTTATCGATTCGTTGGTGAATCATTATCGATCTGTCATAGACTGGTACCGTAGTGAGACGGGTGTCGGGATGCGACGGCGGCGACCGTCTAACTGACTAATGTCAACGGATAGACTGGAAACCCCTATGAACTATACAAAACAGTGTAACTCATCTGACATGACAATAATAAAATTTCTATCAAGAACATGACAGATGCAGTAGTATGTTTGGATAGATGTATGTATGGGATCTTGTTGAAATAAAACTTTTAATTT